TTTAAAACCAAAAATGACGTTTTTTCAAAAGCTGACTTTGAGGAGCTCTTCTAAATTCGATTGCGATCGAAAGTTTTTTTATTTGCATGGGTTCTAGTTGACTATCCAAGCTTGGTTTATGCTAGAAGTGTCGCGGCTACCAGAGCCTCGATAATTTTTTTACGTGGCCTCAAACTCCGGCATATTTGGGCTCCTCATGAATTTCTTTTGACAAATTGGATGGCCCGATCAATTTGTGAATGTAATGCAAGAATGCGCCAGTTATATAGTATCAAATACAATTATAACGAGAATTTTAACGTCGCAATTAAATTTTATAGGAAGGTAGACAGGGGTGCAAAACCGCACGAACCAAACGTTTTAGAGGTCTTAAAAGGCGCTCTTCCAAAGGGGTACGGTAGCTCGAAGTTTTATCAATGATAGATAAACCCCAGCCCTGCATAATTAAAAAAAGAAAATAGTTGAGTTCCATCTGGAACTTTAGAAATATTTTTCCAAAGTGCGGTTTCGTCGCCCAAAAAAGATCCATGAACGTCGAAAAACTGGAAAAATCATCGATCTCAAAAAATTCTTTAATAATTTTATGCGATTGTGTTGGGCTCGTAGGTAATCTACAAACACTTATTTTGACATTTTCACCATCAGTTTTTTTAATATTCGAAATTTACGAAATTTCTCCATATAAAATTTCAGCCCTTAATAACTTTTCGACCAGACCCTCAAAAATTCTTAAATTTTGTAGGTGCATATCTGCTGCTTACATTAACTTACATAGTAAAAACGAGAGGCTAGTCACCATACAAAACTGAGAAAAATGCAATTGAAGTTTCCCCGAACGCACAGTTTTCGGGTGTCATTAGTATGGGTACGTCGCCGAAAATCGAAAAAATCAAGTTGAGTTATTTCCCTATTCCTGACATATTTAAGCATTCTGGCATGGTAACGCACGGTGAAATATTTTTCTTTCTCGAGATATTCGGGGACAAACTTGGGCACTTTTTTTTGATACACCCTGTATTTGTCGTACTCGTCAAATATGCTATTTTTCAACTTGTATCAAAAATTATACGATGGATTTCTGCCTTCGTAGACCCTTTAAAAAAACTATATGGCCGCGAAACACCCAAAGAGGTGAATCTAAATTGCGTTCGTTCAATCAGCCGTTTCCTTCAATGTCTCCAAAAATCTATCTATGGATTTCTGCCTTCCCAGTCCCTTTAAAAACGGATTGGGTTCCAAAAAAACTGACCAATCACTCCTGCAACTCGGCCCAGAATATGCCTGTGGTCGATACTGTGCCCCACAACCGGGTAGACACAATGGTTGACAGTCTGGCAGACAGATAGATGATGGTTGTTGAGGGGGTACGGTAGGATGAGGGTGTAGCACGAATACCATCGGGTTTGGAGGATTTGCACCACCTAAAAATTTAGTCTTGAAGTTTTTTCAAAAATATGCGAACACTGATTAAAATACATTCCAAATTCGCAAATTTTCGTAATTTTTGAACCTTTTTTGCATAGTTCGTCGAGCTGGCATACAACGAATCCATGAAAATCATGAAAATGAATTTTTAACTACAGTACCCGGCATGGCCATCGCGTGAACAAGCGTCGTTCGGGGTTTTGGAGGTGGTGAGCAGCACATCCTCCCGCACCACCCAAATTCACATTCCATCATTTGCATCTGGGGGTAGTACGTCATCTGGAAAAACCGGAAAATAAAACAATTACCGTAATTGGAAAAAATACAAAACGCGCAATCCCACTAAGAAAACTAAAAAATGGCAAAAATCTGAAATTCCTCAAAGAATTCTGCTAATTTGCCGTTATGGATTTTTAATTTTACAATATTTTTCAATTCTTTGATACCTAACGTTTAATGGCGCAAAATAAACGCTTAAACCTATATATATTTTTTAATTGCAAAGATTCTATTTATCTATCTATTTATAGAAATTCCTCAAAGATCTCTGCTAGTTTGCTCCCTGGGATCTTGTTTGATGCAGCAATACGTCGTTCATCAAAATTAAACTTTGAAAAATGCTATATCCATGATTTCTTGACAAAAATTCCTTAAAAATCTCTGCTAATTTGCCCAATGCAGTGCAGTGTAGAGCAGCGTATAATTTAAGCGAATTAAATTTTGGAACCTTCATTTTTTTCAAAACGCACCCTCCTATATCCATTTCCAAACGTTCCATAGTGTTGTTTCTTTTTGCTGAGCGTCAAATGCGCATCTTCTTTTTCTTCGGCCGTGAATTCCTCTCCATTATTGTTATGATTATTTTCTTCGTTCTTTCCCTCCAATTTGCCAGCAAATCTGGCCAATGTTTCCATCGTTTTCTTCATAACTGGTTGCCCCAGATTATTCTCATTCATTTCATTGGGTTCTTCACGAAAAAACGGTGGATTTGGGATGATTGGTGGTGGGGCCATTTGGGATTCATCTGGCTGGCGAGGGTAGAAGCTTCTTCCATTAATGTTATAATTATTATTGGGCGGTGCCGGTGATGGGGTGGAGAAGTAGAAATCTGAACGAACACAATCAGTTTTTTTATGTTCGAAAATTCAACAATACAATCTTTTTCAAAACCGCTAGAAGATTAAGACTAAAAAAGCCGACAAACGTCAAAAAAAAATTTAGCTTGCGGGCCCCATTTCTTATTGTGGAATTTTTTATATTTTGAAGTGTTGGAACTCCAAATAATAAAAATTGCTACAAATAAAAGACCTATGATGAAAAGATTTTAAGGAAGCTTTAGGAAAGGTACCACTTTAAGAAAAAAACTTAAGAATAAATGAATTCTTGCGAAATTCTGAAACTTGTGGCCATTAAAAACCGAAACACCGATGCCTACAAAATAATTAAGAGGTAAAAAAACATATTCGCGGATTTTTCCAGCTTTGTAAGTCTAAAAAGTGCTATTTAGTGCAAATAGTCAAATTTTGTAGTTAATATTGATCAAAAAAACCCACCATCGCCATGCCTGAAAGGTGGTGCTCCAATGGCAGCTTGTGGGATTGGACTCGAAGAAGCGGGAGAAGCTGGAGGAGCCATTAGAGTCTCTGGCAATCGAATCGGGGCAATCCTCTGTGGATACAGTCTCCCCGTACTCTGTTGCGCCGCGGAATTTGGTGTCGTAACCGGATTTGGGGTCGAATATTGAGTCGTAATTGGTGGGGATCGATAGATGGAAGATGGCTGGCGGAATGGATGGATGAATTGACGCACTTTATCTGAATTAAATTTATGTAAGTTAATCATTTTAAATTGGCAAATTTAGTAAAAGTATATAATTTATTTTTATAGTGTCAATTGTGGTTTTAATCTTAAGTAGATTTTAACTGATAGTTTAATTTAGTTTTTACCAGGGTTGAAAGCCGCTTCGCGACTTTTCAACCCTGGCCCCGTCCAACCCGATGATATCCCTCGCTTTGCATAAACCTTCCGCATTTTTATGTCAAAAAATAAAAATGTCCTCCTCTTTCCGATTATATAGGCTGATCCCACTTCCGGCGCATGCTAATTTTTCCTAACAAAGCAGATGTCCGATTTTTAAGGAAAAAACTTAATTTTAATGTCGAAAACAATCGATTTTGAAAAATCTGATACGCGTGCAGTCATCTACAGGCCATTACGCGTCTAATGACGTATCATACGCCCCCTTCCTCCCTTCCCCTCTTGAGATATCCTCTGGACACGCTGACGGAAGTTGCATGCAAAGTGGCACACACACACACAGACATTACTTTTTTATATATATTTAGTTTTTACCAGGGTTGAAAAGCCGCTTCGCGACTTTTCAACCCTGGCCCCGTCTTGGACCGCATGCTGTTCTACGCTTTGCATAATTGCGCTGAATTCAGATGACCAAAAAAAATGATTCGCTTGTGACCCTTTATATAGGCGACTTCTTACTTCCGGCCAATGCTAATTTTTCCTAGCAAAGAGGGTTTTACAAAAACTTAAATTTAATATCGAAAATGGCTGATTTTTATAAATCTGATATGTGGGCAGTCATCCCTCGACCATTACGCAGATAATGACGTATCGTACCCACCCCTAGCTTCTTCCCCTATAGAGATACGCCTGGAACAACGCTACGGAAGTGGATGCAAAGTGGCACACACACACATACACTATTTTTTTATATTAGTTTTTATTTCTTTTTCTAAAATGATGTAAATTTTCTTACGCATATTCTCGTGGTAGAATGGCGGATATGGGGTGGTGGAGATGTAATTGTGACTGATTAGGCCCTGAAAACATCCGAAAAATCAGTATATCGATAGGTAACTTATACCGTATCCGATTTCCCTTGTAACGCCCAATTCGCGTAGGTAGTCGCGATGTGGGAAGTGTTCTAAATGAATCCAAACGATATTTTATCGATTCAAACTAGCATAAGGTAATTTTGAAATGTAAAATTCCGGAAATTTTTAATTATAAAAACCACGCTTGAAGGTGTTCTTTGGAAAAAGTTAAGATTCTTTATAATTGTTAAGGTTTTCCGTTAATTGTAATTAATTTAAAGACATACAGTCACTGTAGCTCCTCCTGCTCGTAGTAATAAGAATAGGAATAAAAATCGCGAAAATTTGCGCATAATTAATTGGATGGCTGATTTGTGGATAGGAAAGGAGTCGTGCTTTTTATGATTGAGATATATGCCCCAAGTGGATATTTGGGGGATGTGCCCATCAAAGAATATGACAGTCGACAAATAATAAGGGCGCGGGGACAGGGGAGGGAGATTGACACCCCACACACGCACCCAATCAGCCACTCAGAATATGCTGATTTTGACCGGAAAACTTGGAAAAGAATAAAAAACAAATATTTGAGGCAAAAAATCCACAAAAATATGACAACTCTGTATATCGATAAACCTGTGTTGTAATGTTGGTCATATTTGCCTACGGGAACCTTGCTTGATAGCAATTTATCCAAAAGAAACAAATCATTCAATTACGGAGAAATCGAAAGACATTTATTCAGCACATTTCAGTGAATTCATGACAATAAGACATATCTGGTAGTGGACCCTTGAGACAATCGAAACAATTGATATCATCGAATGTAGGTCGGTAGTTTGCCTGAAAAATGAATGAGCACTTGGTAGTAGCTGGTATTTTAATTTTCGCATCGAATTAACATACCGTCCATACCCTCGCGTTATTCCATTCTGTTTCCGGTGCCACAGTCCGTTTATATGTCGATTCATTGATCTTCTCCGATGTCACTTTCATTGTCAATGTCTCATGATTTGGAATGATTCCCAACTGAAATTTGGAGTTTAATTTTACAGTCTCTGTACGTTTGGTATTCGATTGTCAATTACTCGGCAGCTTCCAACATGACCCAACATTTATTTGGACTGACTGACCTGCATTTGCTCGTATTTCGAGCAATCGGAGGGAGAACCCATGTAAATGAGGAAGTATCTGTGCAATTCCCTAGTATAGTGGAAGACAGATGATGTCCTACCGATTCCATTTATAATACAAGCAGAGAAGCGTGTCGGGCTGAAATTGGGGCTTAATAATGACCATGAAATAAGTCGTTACCTTGTTGCAATCGAAGATACAGAGATATCGGTTAGTACTAAATTAGAATTTCTATAAAAAGTATACAAATGTTATTGTTTTTCGCGGACTAATAGATGCCGATCTAACGGCCTTCTCTTGATGCTTACCCCTCGTCCATTTCGTATGTAATCAACGCAATTCGAAAATTATATTTCTCCTCAAAAGCCCTCTGTTTGTCACCGATAAATGGGAAATGCTGAGTGGAATAATGCATATTAATTTGACGAATTCAGAATACCCAAGGGCCACGGTGGATGTTATGTCCCAAGCCCCCTGATGTTCCTCCATTCAAAAGTTTCTAAAATGAATTTTTAACTGGTTGTCTATTCTGTTTATTCACCTGTATATTTCGAATGACAAATGATGACAAGTTGATCCCATCCTCTATCGACGCATTACCTATTGGTCATATTACAGAACGTATCATAAAAGTTTCGCTTCAAAAATTATTCAAGGCAGTCCAATGAAACATAACATTCTGGATTAGACTTGCATAGCAAAACTATTCTTAAAAATATCTCAACTCGATTGCCGCAAGAAATTTCTTGGCAATTGAATCGAAAAAGAGGAGGCTTACCCCACAATACTAGTTTTTTCCATACACCGGCCCATTCATAAACTGCCATCTATAGAACGGTCTATATAAAAAGGGGGAAGAATGTATACCTCGGATGGATATTCTTGACTGTTTTCAAGTGCAAGCCAGCCGCTCGTTCTCGACAATACTCCCTAAATTCTTTTGAGAATGCTATGTTTAAAAAATAACGTGAAAATAGAAATTAAGAAAAGGGGGTAATTCCCTAGAAAAAGCAAAAATCTTACGCGGAATATTGGAGAATGAAGGATATTCATCATGCGGCTGATATCACAAGATTTTGCTGCAGAAAAGGCGAGACGCAGATATTGATAATCTTTCCGGCAATTCCCTAATATTGTTTGTTTTATTATGCGAAGATAAAATACCTAATCCCTCAACGAAAGAACAATACACTTTCTGAAGGTCCGTTTTTCCCTTCACAATTTGATTCTTGTTCTTCCATTCATCGTTCCCAATTCTGAAATTGTGCCCTTTTAATATAAAACACCACGTACCCCATGTGAAGGTCAAATACACTTTCCGAAATAAATTCAGCCGGCTGAAATATAATTACAGACTTCCAAATGTCTTCTCACAATCATTTCCCTCTCGATCGCTTTCTTCACCCATTTTTCTCTTTCATCCACAGTCACTTCTTCTCCCCGTCTCATTTTGTCAACGATTTCCACAAGTTCACCAGATCCTTGGAGCTGAAATTACATATTTTAATTGTTCTGGTAACTGGTGGTTATGATTTTAACCGTAAACCAGGGTTGAAAACTGCAAAAATGACAAGAAAGAAAAATCAAGATACCTCATTGGAATCAGGATTTAAGATAGTAGTGGTGGTGCTTGTGCACACAACTGAAATGTAATACGATTGCAGTGAGTAATAGAAAACCTGGTTGAACGGAGGGAGGGTGATAGCGCGTATTTGAAGTTTTTCCTAATTGTAAGGTCGTCATTTCCTCCACGGTTTTCTTTTGTGGGGCTAAAGGCAACGAAAACCTTTAGACAACATCACAAATAAACCTCCTTGGGCAACTACCGACTGCAGTTTTGGCGCTAAAGAGAAACTTTCGAGTCCAATGCACAAAACGAACCTTTTTGAGCAGCAAATTTACGCGACGCATACAAATCCTTGCCTACAAAAATTTATGAGATCACAGACTCGCCATCTACTCAAAAACAAATGGAGAAAGAAAATTACAGGGTGTCGCAAAAAACGACCCATCTGGCATTTCGCCGTATTACATCGAATCGATCCCAAAATTGGACCAGAGGTGTATTAGACCCTAAACCAGGGTTGAAAAACCGCTGCGCAGTTTTTCAACCCTGGCCCCGTCTAGGACCTGTGAAAGTCTTCGATTTGCATGCTTCTTCTCGAATTCTAGCATGAAAAAAATGAAAAGCACGCCCTCTCTTCCTTTCTATAACCCACCTCCGCTTCCGGTGTATGCTAATTGATTCCTAACAAAGAGGATGGCCCAGAATTTTAGAAAAACCTAATTTTAATGTCGAAAAAAGAACTTTTTGCAAAATCTGATAAGTGTGCAGCCGTTCCAAGGCCGTTACGCACCGAATGACGTACCAAACACCCTCGTAGCTTCCTTCCTTCTTGTGATACCACTGGAACAACCTGACGGAAGTTGCATGCAAATGCACACACACACTATTTTTTTTATATATAGTAGGATAACCACAATCCTGACTTATAGCCCTGTAGCTACAGTCGTTCTCGAGCTATAACGAAAATACCGTTTTTTCCGCAATTCTAAACAGTTTTTTTCGGTTATGCTTTTGGATTTTGCATTGCTTTGCATCCACTTCCGGCCGCTAATCCCTTAATTCGATTAAGAACTTGGGTAATTTTGCGTTGTAAAAATGGCTTAAATCGAAGCTTATTTAATTAATTTTAGCCTGGAAAAATTTCATAAGTTAATGAAGGCTACCGGATCATTTTCACTTTATGTTTTGGGGGGGGGCTAATTCTACGAAAACTTTATGAAAAATGGAAAAATAAAGTTTGTTTTTGTTATAACTCGAGAACGACTGTAGCGATCGGGCTCTAACTTAGGATTGTTGTTATTTAGGGTCTGATACACCTTCGGTCCAAATTTGGGGTCGATTGGATGTAACACGGCGAAATGCCAGATCGTTCGTTTTTTTAGGACACCCTGTAGATATACGAATAGTGATCCCAATCTGTGCTAGTGGACAAATTTGCATATCATACTATTCGCATAGTATTATTTTCATTTATCATATGACCAGTGGAAAAAGCCCGCTTCGCGGCCGTTTTCCACTGGACCCCGTCCAGGAACGATGAATTCCAATACCTTCTTTTTTTAGCCTGAGGCGCAAGAACTTCAGTCAAGGAGCCATTCTCTGGCCTGCGGCGCCAGAGCCTTGGCCAAGGACCTCTTCTTTGGCCTGCGGCGCTAGAGCGAGAGCCAGGCCTAAACCTGGCGCTAGAACCTTTTGGCCTGCGGCGCTAGTTACTGGTTTTTCTCCAAGATTTGGCCTGCGGCGCAAGAGCCTAGTTCAAGGGCCCATCATTGGCCTGCGGCGCGAGAGCCTGGGCCAAGGACCTGTTATTTGGCCTGCGGCGCTAGAGCGAGGGTCATGCATAAACCTCGTCTACCGAGAACCTAGAGATATGTTTTGTTGCTGAACTACCAAAAAGCAAAAAGTTCAATTCTCCCAGGAACCGAACTCACGACCATGCGCGTGGTAGACGGGGCGCGAATCCGCTACACCATGGGCCAAATGGGAAGAGGCGGCGTGAAAGCCCTCTTCTGCTCCGGGGAATCCGGGCGGGGGAAGGCAAAGAAAGGGCGACCCAATGATCCCGGAGTGAGGCCTACAGGTCCCTTTACAAAATTCGGTTTTGGAGTTTGAATCGGCGGGAAATTTGTAAAGATAATAAGATGCGCGTGATCCCCAATATCGAATACATAGGTTGTCCAAATTCCAGCCCGAAATTCCATCTGGGTCTCGAGTTATGGGCCGGACACCACGGCACTTCGGCCATTTTGTTAAGGAATTTTTAGAAAAATGCTCATAAAAACTTTATTTTACAAAATCTGGCAAAACGCAAAATTATATATCGGGAGAATTCTATTTCCAATCCACCCTCCAAAAATTAAAGCTGAATTCCATTTGGATCTCGAGATATCCTCTGTACAAACCTATTTTCGACCAAAATGTTAAGGGTTTTTCACCATTTTGCTTGTAAGATCGTTAAATCAAGGAATTTCGAAAAACAAAAAAATGCTTATAAAGAAGATGTGCTTTTCCACCTACATGCCAAAAATCAGCCGTGAATTCGGCCTGACGGCCGAGAAATCGTCTGCACAGAAAACACACATACTTTTCTCGCTTATAGGATAGGATTCCCCAGATTTTCCATTAAATTTCGAGTCACTTTTGAGTCGAGGTCACAGATTAATACTCGCATTAAACAAAATTTTTTTTGCACACCAAGGAAACAAACCCGTCTGAACAGCGATCGTCTTCAATTGTGGCGCTTAATTAAAAAAATTAGAAATTTTCCATTGCTCGGAGCCGAACCTGCTTGAGTCGCAATTTCGTTGGAAGGTCTCGCATACTTATTGAAATCCTTTCCCAGAGCTGTCGCCGCGGATTTCATTTTTGGTGCTAAACGCGTTTTTTTTTGGCAGTGTTTGAGGAAAAACCGGCTTGCACGGCTATTTCAACTGATGGTCTCGCATATGCAGTAAAATCTGCTCCCATAGCTGTCTCCACAGTATTCAGTGCAGGCACTAACAAAAAAAGCTATCGCCACCGCTTTATTCCAAACCTGCTTGAACAGCAATTTCTGCGGAGAGCCTCACTTCGCCCTCGCCAATTAGCCGCTAAAACTGATTGAATTAACGGCCTAAAAGCGAGTGCGAGACCTGAAATCCGAGTCTTTCCCTGGCAATTTGGCGTTCAAGCTGTTGGAGATAATTGTGGCATTTGAGGCAAAAGTCGTGATGTTGATTGACAGCCATGATATACTCCGCACAATTTCTCGTTTCTTTTATCGACGACATCAATTTTTGCACTTTCTGGAATGCCGCCAATGCCTTCAAAATACAATACAAAACCTGTCTCACAGTTCCGATTTCCACTTCAAAAGTATTTCCCACTTGTGTGGCGAGCGGTATGATAATTTTATCGACCGATTGTTGTATAGCATTTGAATGGACTAGTATCTGTCATATAATTGCTATAAAATAACGTCCTATCTGAAAACCTGTGCTTCCTCCAATGCAATCCATGTATTCACCGGCTCATCGTTGAAAAAATGATGTTTTTGGTAGCATCGGATGCAGTTGATCAGTCGCGGCATCTATTACGAGCCATTAGTGATGTGTATTTTCGCGTACATTTTCGCCAAATACTTCCAATTCCACTTCAGCCAATGGTCTGTCTGTGCCCTTTTCAAATTCCCGCAACTTCATCAACATATCGTCCACCAAATGCTCATTTTCATGACATCGTGTGCATCGAAATTTTTGTGCACACCACGATATCTTAAAATTACTTTTTAGATGTCAATTTTGCGCTAAAGGAATCTTGCACATTTTTAAAAGTAAGGAATACCATTTCTTCGACGGAATACATTTCGGGTGTAGCCTCCAGAACGCGATTTTCAGAAGAATGAAAAGCCGATAATGGCTTTGACGCGAAATCCCCAACGCTCGCTGGCTTATCACTATTTGCATCCGCAAGCAGTGAGCCCGCCCATATCTTTCCGAAAATAATTTTTTGACGCTCCGTGAGGTGTAAATTGATAACTTGAATGCCTCCAGTTCTTATGCGATGCAAAAGATGTGTAGGAGACGACTTTTAAATATCTGCCTGCACGAATCGCGTGTCGGTCGCGTCTTTAGACAAGTGTCGGTCGGGGGTAACAAAACGTGCTCAAAGTCACATGACCGTCAATTGTACCTGGGTGCCCAGTCAGGTGACCGTCGCGACTTGGCCCTGGTACAGGTGCCGCTTAGTGTCGGACAGCACCCCAAGAAACGCACCCCGGGTGCCTTTGAAACGCACCCCGGGGGGTCTTTGAAACGCACCCGGGGTGCCTTTCAAACGCACCCCGGGGTCTGTTTGAAACGCACCCCGGGGTGCGTTTGAAAGACACCCCGCTCCCTCGGGGGTGCATTAATAGTGTCCCCGGGTGCCTTTGAACGCACCCCGGGGTGCCTTTCGGGGTGCTTTTGGGGGTGTGTTTTGGGGTGCGTTTCGGCCCCACAGGTGGCAAAGAATCCAAGGGAAGCCGATAAATAAAAGTATTTTTGGCATAGGAATATTACAGATATGTTTTACTATGTTTTCTATACAGAATTGATGCCATCCGACGGCTCCGCTTTCAGTAAGATATATTTGATAGGCTGTGTTGTAGTTTTACACGATTTATGGTACGATTTTCACACTTTATCGGGGCTTAAAATGTTTTTACTCATGCTTTTGTCAAAAATTATGGAAATTATTGACGTGATTTTCAGAAATGGAACAGATAACAATTAATAGGATGTAACTGGAGTATGAAATAAGGCAAGAATAGCATATTGAAGGGTTTTATAAGGGTTCTGTAATATTTCTATGCCAAAAATACTTTTATTTATCGGCTTCCCTTGCGATTCTTTGCCACCTGTGGGGCCGAAACGCACCCCAAAAGCACCCCCAAACGCACCCCGGGGTGCGTTCAAAGGCACCCGGGGACACTATTAATGCACCCCCGACGGAGAGGGGTGCGTTTGAAAGACACCCCGGGGTGCGTTTCGAACAGACCCCGGGGTACGTTTGAAAGGCACCCCGGGTGCGTTTCAAAGACCCCCTGGGGTGCGTTTCAAAGGCTCCGGGGTGCGTTTCTTGGGGTGCTGTCCGACACTAGTGCCGCTCGCGTGAGTCTGAGCACATATTCCCGGCTGGTTCCCTAGCCATTTCCCGACGTCGGGAAATGACCAGGGGGCCCGGGAATACCCGCCTCACCTCCAGAATGATCAATAGATACACAATCGGGCTCGAAACCCGCAATAAAATCAATCAAGTGCATCAAAATGTATACTTTATACCGAAAAATACAGAACACAAAAAGAAACTTGCGCGTTCCGTCGTCCCGGGCAGAAGTCGTGCTGGGCCCCTTCAAGCGAGCCTTCAACTAAAACAAAATAATTTCAACAGGCAAAGGTAAAAATACAAGCAAATTCCACGCACTAAAAATTATAAAATACTTCTAGCTCGCGTTGACACTGCCGAAACGGGAGCAGACCATCCGTCTATCGCCGCGCAAACTAAAAAAGCGTAAAGTCATTGGCAAAAAAATACCGTCGCCGAGACATCACCATCAGATGATTTCGAGCTCGCAGCACAGGGCCTAAAGTCACGCAGCTAAACCTCAAACAATAAAAAAAATACCTAGACACGATGCTCCTGCGATCTTGTGCCATATGAGGGCTGGCTGCTGTAGATCCTCGTCATCGCCGAGCCTGCAAAATAATCAGTCAAACAATAAAACGCTGACACAACAGTCGTTGAAAACCTTGAAAAGATATCTGGGTACTTGACTGTTATCGGGGGACCAAAACCGGCTATACCCTACAACCTATTAAGCAAATAGAAACTTTTATTAGAAAAGCCCTATCAGTTTTGTGCGCATAGTAATGAAAACGTTTTAGAACACTGCATAATTTTGAATTACTGGCCAAAAAAAGGATGAAAAAAGGCGAAATTCTCCAAAAACTCTTTTAATAGCCTTAAAAAAATGTTTTGTAACAAACTTTGGCTATCCGAAAGGCGCACACACTCCATAAAAACATGTATAAGCTAAGAAACCGCAAATCGTTTTGCCCCCGCCCTAATTTTGGTCCCCCGATAATAATCCAGCACCGATTACCGATTTTGTCATCAGCTGCTTCTGGCAATCAGCATCCGGTCGATGAGAATTACGCTGAGACCTGCAAACATTGCAAATCACCGAGGAGAAATACCTTTTGCGCAATATTCAAGCTGATTCCAGGCTGAACGTCGATAGGGCTGGTCGCGGATGGGGAACATGGCCTGCAAAAAGAGTTTGTGACGTAGATACGATAAGAAAAAGCGATTACCAGCGCAAAACAATAGTAAACATCCGGGGGGACTAAAACTCTTCCGCAAATAGCTCAGTATTTCCGCGGAAAAGAAATCGTTAATCAAACAACTAACGCCGAATTCACGAAAAATACCGCACCAGTGTCAATTTTCTGTCCAATAGACATTATTCACTGAACAATAGCAGATACGCAACAGAAACGGCAAAGCTGCGGCAGGTTGCGGAAATGTCATGGCCCCAAAAACGCATTACCTACCTGCCACACATCATTCGGCCGCATCACGGCCGGAATTGACATAACTTTCAGCCGAGAAGCTTCTTTCTTGCCGCGCGTAGTCGAGCACATCGTATTCCTAAACATTACCGAAGAAAGTATACCTGCACTGGTGAAGAATCGTTCTCGCGCTTCTTCTTGATAAGACGACGCCCCTTTCGCCGCCAAACTAAGTTTTTTTTTGTAAAAAAACCAATCAGTAAAAAGGTACCTTTCACTACGGATCTCCCAATCAACATCCGCGCCTTGTTGAGAGTTGACGTTACCTGAAAACTAGCGCATTTGGAAAAGCACAATATGCGAAAGTCAATAGAAAAAGTGATTTTACCAACGAAGAAAGTGTAAAAAATCAGCCGGTCAGGTGGTTTCGAGGGTTTTGGGGCCTAAACCAGGCAAACGAGATGCAAGTATGCACGAAAAAAATAATCCATAATAGAATGATCGATAAAACTAAAACAAAAGCCTTTTTTAATAAAATGTAGAGTCGAAAGAAGAAATTTCTAAAAGACTTGGTGAAATTAAATGCGGTAAATGCACGTTATTCCAGGGTTGTTTGTAGTGCCTCGTACTCGGCACCCGGACCGGTCCGGGAACACCATCTTAGGGCTTACGCCGCTTAAATCGCGAAGAAATACACATTTCCGCGTGTCTGTAGCATCCCAGGGTGATTTGCGATGAAAAAATAATTTTTTGAAAATGTTATATTTTTCGACCAAAAATTTGCCTAACAAGGAGACGTTTTTTAGTGTGAATGGAGTTTTAAGTTGAAACCAGGCCTATTCTGTGCAGAATTTTGCGCTGATTCCGATGCTGTTTTCCAATTTTGCTAAATAGCTCGATTTAAAAAGTTACAGCTATTTTAAGATAATTTTTAGGCCCAGATTAGCCATATGCTATGCTGTGCTACTTTTTTGTTACAACGGTTGAATTTTGTTTAAGTAGCCTATCTTGTAGAGAATTTTTTTCTGATTCGAATGGTATATTTGATTAGTGCGCTACTGCCGATCGACGATGGCTTACAGGGGTGAGAAATAGGCTGTTTTTCTCCATTTCCCATACAAAGATCGCAGCCCATACCAAGTATCGTCGATTTTTTCGATTTTCAACAATTTTGAGTTAAATAGCTCATTCGATAGAGAAAATTTTTCTGAATACGGTGACGATATTTATTTTTGGAAAAACAGCCGGGAAAAGCAATATAATGCTCCCTAAAGAGGGGAAAATTTGGGCTAAAATGATCTTAAAATTGCTATAACTTTTCAAATCGAGCTATTTAGCAGAAATGGAAAACATATTTGGAATCAGCGCGACATTCTGTACAAAATAGGCCTGGTTTCCACTCAGAACTCCATTCACACCAAAAAAACGTCTCCTTGTAAGTCCGGGGGAATCAGGTGAGCGTCGGGTCCCAAACCGTACATGTGACCGTCGGGATGGGTGGGACAAGTGAGTGTCGCGTCCGCGCCCCTGGACAAGGCTCGGATGCGACGGTCACTTGTCGGTGGCAGTCATATGAGCGTCGGAGTGATTCTGGCCACCAGCCATCTGTCCGTCGCCTCTTCGTACAAGTGACGGTCGCCAAAGACGTGACCGACACGCGGTTCGTGCTGGCAGAGATACAAATCTTAGAATTGTTATAAAAACTGCAAAGCAAAACAAATTCTTATAAAAACTAACGGTACAATTCAAATAGTCGGGGGGGCGGGCAATCTGCGTCTCTGCGCCCGCCGTGTTCTCTAGGCACCACCTCTGCCTATAGGTCCACCCCCCCCCGCCTAAATTCGCCCCTCCCCCCGCCTATTTGAATTGTACCAAACTAACTATCGATTTCATTAACATTTGTCCGATCGGATTTCGAAAAGAATACAAACTGAAAGGTAGCGGTCTAAAAGGAGCCAAGCCTCATTTTTTGCGAACTCGCTATCATATTGTAAGTTTTAGTCGCCGTTCAGAATAGCGCTTCCAGCCACAATAATTTTCCGCGAAACTCCAGTAGACGGAAATGTTTCTGCGCCTACATGTCCGCGATCTCATGCATGGAAATTCCGCGTTTTTCCATGTGTGTTGGGTACGTCCAATCGGAATTAGGGACCTTAGTTGGCAGTTTCTATTTGACCAGGCGGTCTTTGGCATCATTTCGATGCTTCATAATGGAAAAATTCCAAAAAAGAAACGTTTATTTAGCACATTTCATCAAATTCCAGACAATAAGACATATCTGTTAGAGACCCTTCAAACAATGAAAACAATTGATAACATCAAATGTCGGTCGGTGGCTTGCCTGAAACCCCGTCGTCGCTATTTCTTACGTAAAAATTTTAATATCCGCTCCGTTGACCCACCGTCCAGGTCCTCTCCTCCCAACTATTCCATGCAGTTTCCGGTTCCACGGTCCGTTTATATGTCGATTCATTTATCTTCTCCGATGTCACTTTCATTTCCTCATCTTTTGCAACGATTCCCAGCTGAAATTGGATTATATTTATAACTATCTTATCGTATCTTTTTTATTTTTTGTCTCTGAAGAATTTTAATATTCGAATGGCAGTTGCCCGGCATTTTCCAAAACGGGCAAAAATTTGCTCGGACTGACCTGCGCTTGCTCGTATTTCGCGATATCTGAGGGAGAACCCATGGAAATTTTGAAATATCTATGCAATTTATAATCATAATAATGTAAAGCAGACCTACCGATCCGAATCATAGATAAAGTATATGGCTATGTTGGGCTGAAATTGATGCTTAATAATATTGCGAAATACAGTACCTTGTTGCGAGGCAAAATCCATAGATATCTCCTCTCACTAAATCAGAATATCCATCAAAAGTAGAAAATTGTCTTCATTTCGCGCGTACTAATAGCAGCAAATGTGCTGACGAGGTCAAATTCCACAAGCTTCAAATTTACGATCTCTATCCAAATTCGATCAAGCAATTTCAATACGTGAACTCAGGGACGAGGGATGAGAGAACATTTCAAAACCCTATTTGCCAACATTCGGAAACATTCTAACAACGAAGCTACACGCCTTTTGTGGAAATCTACGTACAGTATCTGCTTGGATATTTTCGAGAATCTGCCCGTCTGATGCTTACCTCCCGTTCCCTTCCACCGTAATCATCACAATTCGAACATTATATTTCTCCTCAAAAGCCCTCTGTTTCTCACCGATAAATGGGAAATGCTGAGGAGAAAATTGTGATATAATTAGATGAATTCAGAATACCCAGGGGCCATCGTGGAGATGCAATCGCAAAGACTTAGACGTCCCTCCATTCAGAAGATTCTAAAAAGAATTCAGATGGTGCCGTATGTTTATTCTCCTTATTTACGTGTATACTTCGAATGACAAATGTTGAGAAGTTGATCCCATCCTCGCTCAACGAAAGACCTATTGATTACATTACAGAATGTATGGTAAAGACTTTACTTCTAAAATTACTCAGGTTCAGTAGCTAAATTGCTCAATTGTCTACGGATTCCCTGCTACAGCATTGATCTGGCCACGAATTTTTGCGGAATTTGGACCTTTGGCATTCAAGATACAGGCGATTTCCCAAGGTGATCACTTTTTGACCGCTACCGTATGTATGTATTTAGGCCCCAATTTGAGCACTGTTCTTGAAACACGTCCCCAGGCGATAACCGCAAGAAATTTCTTTACAAAATAAATAGCAAATACAAAGCAAAATACAGAATAAGTAGGAAAAGAAGACCTGACCATTAAACAATAGCTGTTTCCATACACCGGCCCATTCATAGACAGCCGTCTGTAAAATCGTTGATATAAAAAAGGGGGTGGAGGAGAATGTTTACCTCGGTTGGATGATCAGTATTGGTGGAAAGTGAAAGCATGCAACGGGTTTTCGACAATACTTCCTAAATTCACCAATGTTTCCAAAAAATTACGTGAAAATAAAATGTACGAAGGTGGGATTAGTTCTCATGAAAAGCAAAATTTTACGCGGAAGGGTGGAGAATGAAGAATATTGATCATCCGGATGATATCACAAGATTTGGTTGCAGAGAAGGAGACCCACAGCTGTTGATCGTCCTTCCGAATATTCCCTAACATTCTTTTGTTCTTTGTAGATGAATATAAGATACCTAATCCCTCAATGAAAGAATAATACACTTTCTGAAGATCGGATTTCCCCTTGAAATTCTCGGACTTCCACTCTCCTTCCCTAATTCTACAGCTTGCGCTCTTTTAATAGAAATCGTGAAATTACCCGATGTAAAGTCGATGATTTTTGCGCAGGAGATTAGGAAAAGCTCGAACAATGCGAAAAAATTTGCTCATGAGACTTCCCAAAAGATTTTTAAATGCTGGTAATGTCTGTAAAATGAGTTTAATTTTGAGCGGTAGCAATTTATTCGAAAAAATTCTCGTTCCGGATTAACACTGGAAAAGGAAAGGAGTTTATTCAGCACATTTCATGGAATTCATGACAATAAGACATATCTGGTAGTGGACCCTTCAAATAGCCGAAACAATTGATATCATCGAATGTCGGTCGATGGTTTGCCTGTAAAATAAAATGCGGCATTCGATATCTGCTATTCCAATTTTCGCTTCCATTCACCTACCGTCCAGATCTTCGACTCATAAGCTCCCGATTCACTTTCCGGTGCTACTATCCGTTTATATGTCGATTCATTGATCTTCTCCGATGTCACTTTCATGGTCTCGTCTTTTGCGGTGATGCCCAACTAAAATTTCGTTTTTTTCGTACAGCCTCTGAATACTTTTAATATTTGATTGGCAATTACTCGGCATCTTCCAACATGACCCAACATTTATTTGGACTGACTGACCTGCATTTGCTCGTATTTCGAGCAATCGGAGGGAGAACCCATGGAAATGCTGAAGTATCTGTGCAATTCCCTAGTATAGTGGAAGACAGATGATGTCCTACCGATTGCATTCATAACCCAAGTAGAGAAGTGTGTCGGGCTGAAATTGAGGCTTAATAATGACCATGAAAATCAGGGTTAGCGGGCGTAGCCCGCTAACCCCTTTTGGTTTGAGGTTCCCCCCCATACGACTCTTTTGGGGTCCTTTTCCGGATTTAAAAAAGAACCAAGCATCGGATCGCCAAACTGAATACACCATCGGAACCGGCGAGACTTTTTGCATACTATAAGCTTTTAAATTTTGCAGCCGATTTAAATTGCGTTTCAAGGGGGAGGGGTCTGCGTTTGTATGTGTGGATGTACGCAAAACCTTTATAGTCGTCAAAAAGTGCCTTCCCATGGTCCGTTTGGGCTGAAATTTTCCACATATACCGACTTGATGTAAATGAAGGTGAGGAAGAAGCGTTTTTTTCAAAATAGCTTTTAAAAAAATTTATATTTAATTTTTAAGTTTAAAAGCTAAATTGCGTCAAAACAAGGGTTAGCGATGTCCGTTTGGGCTGAAATTTTGCTCAAATATGCATTAGACCATGCCGGAATAAGTAAAGAAGAAATTGCATCGAAAGAATGCGTCTTCTCTGAGATATTATAACTTTAAACCTTCGCCATACGGGGCGCCACCCTCCACTTTGGCGGCCCCGGTCTCAGGTCAGGGCGGGCGGGTCTAGCTTCCCCAAGACAGCCCTCCAGTCTCCCCGTCGGCCTAGTGGTTAGCACGCTGTACTGGGAAGACTTGGCTCTCGAGTTCGAACCCCACCCGAAGCATGCTTTTTGCCGATTGGCCCCCGTGCATCCTTATGGTTTCTAGTCCCGTCACAAAGCGCCGCAGGCAAATTTTTTTTGAAGTTGTGCATACAAGGGTTCATCTGAATAAGTATTCCTTGGCTTATTTTACGATCTTAACAATAAGATTGAGTCAAAAGGGCAAAATTCTCTCTAAGGCTAAAAAGAGTCTTTTTAAAAAAGGGCTTTTGGTTTTCCCAAAAAGAGAGGAATTCTCGTGGCAACAAAAGAGCTAAATTCCTTTCAAACTCTTAAAAATGCCACAGAATGTGGGATCAACCAAAAGTTGCTGGCATCTTATTAAAATGGACAGATCTAGTTTCTGGCGGTTTCGGCTTGCAAATAATTCTGTATTACGATCTATCTGCACTTTCCTGACATTAATTTGTGGACCTGACCTGTGATCTGGGATGATACCGAGTTTATTAAGGTTTTAAATAGCCAGCAACTTTTTGTTTTTCCCGCATTCTGTGGCATTTTTAAGAGTTTGAAAGGAATTTAGCTCTTTTTGTTGCCACGAGAATTCCTCTCTTTTTGCGAAAACCAAAAGCCCTTTTTTAAAAAGATAGTCATTACCTTGTTGCACGGGAAGATCCAGAGATATCGGAGATTACTAAATTAGAATATCTATAAAAAGTATACAGATGTTATTGTTTATCGCGGATTAATAGATGCCGATCTACCGGCCAACTCGAAATCCCCAACCTGTAAAATTCGAGATCTCTGTCAAAATTCCATGTCGACACATAGAATCAGTGACCAGAGATGAGAGGCCAATGCAAAATTATGTCTTCCAAATTTCCCGAACAGGCGAATAAAAAGAAGCTACGCGTCTATTGTGAAAATACACGTCAAGTATTTGCTTGGATATTTTCGAGGATATCTCTTGATGCTTACCTCTCGTCCCCTTCGTATGTAATCAACGCAATTCGAACATTATATTTCTCCTCGAAAGCCCTCTGTTTCTCACCGATAAATGGGAAATGCTGAATGGAATAATGCAATATAATTTGACCAATTCAGAATACCCAGGGGCCACTGTGGATGTGAAATCCCTGACCCCCTGATGTCTCTCCATTCAAAAGTTTCTAAAATGAATTTTTATCTGGTTGTCTATTCTCATGATTTACCTGTATATTTCGAATGATAAATGATGAGAAGTTGATTCCATCCTTTATCGACCGATTACCTGTTGATCATATTACAAACTGTATCATAAAGGTTCGCTTCAAAAATTATTCAAGGCAGTCCAATGAAACATAACATTCTGGATTAGACTTGCATAGCAAAACTATTCTTAAAAATATCTCAACTCGATTGCCGCAAGAAATTTCTTGGCAATTGAATCGAAAAAGAGGAGGCTTACCCCACAATACTAGTTTTTTCCATACACCGGCCCATTCATAAACTGCCATCTATAGAACGGTTTATATAAAAAGGGGGATAGGTTTACCTCGGATGGATATTCTTGACTGTTTTGAAGTGCAAGCCAGCCGCTGGTTCTCGACAATACTCCCTAAATTCTTTTAAGAATGCTATGTTTAAAAAAATTACGTGAAAATGGAAAGCGGGGTAATTCCCTCGAAAATGCAAAAACCTTACGCGGAATATTGGAGAATGAAGGATATTCATCATCCGGCTGATATCACAAGCTTTGGCCGAAATGAAGAACAACGTGATTTCTTGATTTTCTTTCCGAATATTCCCTAATATCCTTTTGTTTTATTATACAAAGATAATATGCCTAATCTTTCAACGAAAGAACAATACACTTTCTGAAGGTCCGTTTTTCCCTTCACAATTTGATACTTTGTCTTCCATTCCCCGGTGTAACTTCTGAAACGTGCGCTCTTCTAATATAAATCACCACATGCCTAATGTCAAGTTGAAACCCATGTCCCGATGTGAATTCAGCCGGCTGAAATAGCCAAAACTACAGACTTCCAAATGACTTCTCACAATCATCTGCCTCTCGATCGCTCTCTTCACCCATTTTTCTCTTTCATCCACTGTCACTTCTTTTTCTTCTCTCATTTTGTCGATCATTTCCGCGAGTTTGTCAGAAGCTATATGCTAAATCGTATAAAATAATTTCCTATTAAATAAGAGAACAAGCTACAGAATGCAATCAAAATAGATGAGAAAATTATTGTAAACTAGAAACTAGCCATACCTCACAGAAGTCCATCGGGTAGTCTGCCATGGTGGCAATGCTAATCACTTCGGGTTCTAGAATTGACTGAAAGGACGCTTGGAAATGAGGAACCTGCTTGAACGCCCATTTCTGTCGAAATTCCTACTTTCCCATTGTCAATTAATTGCTAAAAACCTCCAAATTTAATTCCAAGTATCCGCAGACCTGAAATCCAGTTTTCATTCTCTGCATTTGCCGTTGAATATCGAGGAGATAATTTTGATAGTTTTGTGAAAAATCGGAATGTAGATTGACAGCCGCCACGTATTCAGCACAATTTCTCGTTTCTCTAATTGATGCCAACATCAGATGCTGTTTCTAGAATACAAACAATAATACAAAATACAAAATTTACCTCGCGCAACGCTTCGATTTCTTCCCCAAAAGCATTTGCCAACTTTGTGGAAAGTGGTGCGGTGTTTTCAGCGACCCAATTCTGTATAATATTCGAATGAACGAGTATCTAATGATACATTTCGTTTTATAAATATTTCTATCATACCTGTGCCTCTTCCAATGCAATCCATGTATTCACCGGCTCATCGTTGAAAAAATCATGTTTTTGGTAGCATCGGATGCAGTTGATCAGTCGGGGCATCTAGATTCGTGTATTACGTAGCCCTTATCGACTTACATTTTCACGAAACACTTCCAAATCCACTTCGGCCAACTGTCTTCCAGTGTCATTTTCGAACTCGCGTCGTTTCATCAACATATCATCCACAGGATTGTCATTGTTATGACATCGTGTGCATCGAAATGTCTGTGCACACCACGATATCTAAAAACGTCAATTTCTTGTAGCACCGAGCAACATTTCTCCGACAATGACAATAACAAAAAATCTTTGTAATAATGACTCGAAAAGATTGCGGCATCAAAAGAAAAATAAAGAAACATACCATGTCTTCAACTGAATACATTTCTGTGGCCTTTTTATCGCTAAAAGTTGTCGGGAAGCTTAGAAACGTGAAATGGACTCCAGAAAAAATCGCTTTCCCCCGCTTATCAGTCACTGGACCCGCCCATTTTATTGCAGCAAAAATCTGTCTCCCCCTGCAGGGAAACGATCGATAGCCTGAAAACGCAAAGCGTCGTGAAAATCCTACAGTCAAGTAAGTGCCCAAACGATAGAAAATCAAATAGACGCGATTCGAGAAATGTTTTTTACCGAATGTGGACAAAAATGCTGGGGACGGACTGTTGGGGCCGAGCTAACTATTTTTTTGCGTTTCTTTTTGCTACAAACAAAACTCTTCGTATATTTTTTTGACGCTGCGTCGAATGGCACTAAAGAAATTTTGTAAAAATGTTGAAAATGTCGAAAACTTGTCCTCCATGGAAACAAGGTTTAATACCTGTTTTTGTTGTTTATATTACATTATTTTGAGCTAAAATTAAAACTCTTAGTATATTTTTAGATGCTCTATTGTGCTAGTGTAAGTTTTAGTCGCAGTCCATAATAGCGCTTCCAGCCACAATAATTTTCCGCGAAAATCCAGTAGACGGAAATGTCTCTGCGGCTACATGCCCGCGTTTTTCCATGTGTGTTGGGTACGTCCGATCGGAATTAGGGACGTTAGTTGGCAGTTTCTATTTGAACAGGTGGTCTTTGGCATCATGCATACATATTTCGATGCTTCATAATGGAAAACTACCTAAAAAACATTTATATAGCACATTTCATCAAATTCCAGACAATAAGACATATCTGGTAGAGACCCTTCAAACAATGAAAACAATTGATAACATCAAATGTCGGTCGATGGTTTGCCTGAAACCCCGTCGTCGCTATTTCTTATTTAAAAATTTTAATATCCGCTCTCATGAATCCACTCAAGAATACCATCCGCTCAAGAATTTTAATATTCGAATGGCAGTTGCCCGGCATTTTCCAAAATCGGCAAAAATTTGCTCGGACTGACCTGCGCTTGCTCGTATTTCGCGATATCGGAGGGAGAACCCATGGAAATTTTGAAATATCTATGCTATTTCATATCATAATGTAAAGCAGACCTACCGATCCGAATCATAGATAAAGTATATGGCTATGTTGGGCTGAAATCGATGCTTAATAATATTGCGAAATACAGTACCTTGTTGCGAGGCAAAATCCATAGATATCTCCTCTCACTAAATCAGAATATCCATCAAAAGTAGAAAATTGTCTTCATTTCGCGCGTACTAATAGCAGCAAATGTGCTGACGAGGTCAAATTCCACAAGCTTCAAATTTACGATCTCTATCCAAATTCGATCAAGCAATTTCAATACGTGAACTCAGGGACGAGGGATGAGAGAACATTTCAAAACCCTATTTGCCAACATTCGGAAACATTCTAACAACGAAGCTACACGCCTTTTGTGGAAATCTACGTACAGTATCTGCCTGGACAACTCAGCTGTTGGGATTGTCCTCTAAAGGGTCCCTGTCCGGTCTCCCATCTTATCGACCCATACTCTCCTCCCCTTCATCCAGCCCCATGTCTTTTTTCTTTTTATCTCGTCCTCTACGCCCCTTCCCCATATCCATCCACCACTTCTGTGATCTTTCATTTCATTTTACAATTTCTACAATATGTGCACCGTCTCCATTCTGTGATTCTTATACTGATTCTTATACGTTGCTTGCCAACGGCGCTCCACGCGCATGATAAATATAAAAATAAATAGAAAAAATATTTTCGAGAATCTGGCTGTCTGATGCTTACCTCTCGTTCCCTTCCACCGTAATCAGTACAAATCGAACATTATATTTCTCCTCAAAAGCCCTCTGTTTCTCACCGATAAATGGGAAATGCGGAATGGAATAATGTAAATATAATTAGATGAATTCAGAATACCCAGGGGCCATCGTGGAGATGCAATCGCAAAGACTTAGACGTCCCTCCATTCAGAAGATTCTAAAAAAATTCAGAGCCCGGCCTCAACTATTCCGGAATCATTCCTGGAACGCCTTTTCATTCCCGGAATCTCCCGGAATCTCCTTGAATTGATTTTGAATTGATTTAATTGATTGATTGTTTGCATCTATTCCGGGAATTCCCGGAATCATTGTCATCTATTCCGAGAACGTTAGGAAAATTCCCGGAAAGTCATTCCGGGAATTATTTTGTTAAGGGCTGGACCTACCCGACCAAACCCTCCCCGACACTTGCGGCGCGACATTTGCGCCCGACACTTGCGGCGCAGCATTTATTATTTTAAAATGTTGTAACTTAGCATTTCTTCACGGATTTTGTTTGTAATTGTTGTATTTGTGTTCAAAATTAACAATTTAACCGACCCGCAGTCGGAACGCCCCTGAGGGCGTCAGGCAAGGTGGGCCGTCGCTTCTGATGGGCTGCCGCTCCACTCTTTCGAAATCGGGGCGCCTGGGCGCTTCGCGCTCCTCGGGCGCCCCGATTTAGAAACCCTGTACGAGCTCGCACCCATCCGAAGCGACTAGGCCCCGGGTGGCACAAAGCCTTTTTTAGTCGCAGAGCTGAGGAAGTAGCGGCCACTTTCCCTCCAAACTGAGTGACTTCTGTCGCAGATCCAACTTTTTATAATTTTTTAATACGAAATTCGGACGCAGCTTATCAAATAACACCTTAAACTATTTTTATATAGCTTATACTAAATAACCGCAAGGTCGCGCCGCAAGTGTCGGGCCGCAAGTGTCGCGGTATCCGACCAAAGGGTGGGTAACCATTCCGGGAATCTAGGTAAAACACCACCAAAACCACCAGCCACCAGCACCACCAGCTTAAAGAGATGAGGACGGCATCTGTTGAACCCCCCTGGGAGAGGGGGGGGTTCAGCAGATGGGGCGACGAGAGAGGGCGCCCAGGGGAGAGGCGCAGAGACATTTTCTTTCTCGCGCTTAATCGATTGACTCATGCCGCCCCTATCCCTTTAAGGGGGCTTCATTAGCTAGTATACAAAGTTTCAAATTAATCGGGCATTTCCCAGCGAAGTTACAGAGCATTTTAAAAGTTAAAAAATTGAAACCTTTATCTATCGGCAGGGCTGCTTTTGAATTCGAAGAATTTTCAAGTGTTTTAAATTCCAGGAATGTGGTGAGATTCCCGGAATCGATGAAATCAATTCCGGTAATCTATTCCGGTGACCGTTCCCGGAATAGATTCCCGGAATAGAGATGAAAATGATTTCGGGAATGTTTTTCCTGATTCCCGGAATGATTCCCGCAATAGATAAGGCCGGGCTCTGATGGTGCCGTATGTCAGGCCTTAACAACGGGCCGGGCCGGACCCGCTAGGCCCGGATCAGTCCTGGACGATGATTTTCCGAGAAAATTTTTCGAATTCTGAACCAAAAAAAACGATTTTTTTCCGACTTCGTTCACATTTTTTCAATTTTTTTTTTGTTAATTTGTGCTTTCGTTCGAAAAAATCAATAAGTAACCGTATCCGGGTAATTGTATCCGGAACTTTTTCGTATCCGGAACTTTTTCTTTTGGCATGAATGGACTAGCAGGAACTTTTAAGATGGTTTACAAGCTGGTTTAGGGTATTTTCAGGATCAGCTTTATAGATCTAAGCCGCAAAAAGGGCAGAAGACATACAAAAATTGTCGGTAGTTGACCTTACTATTATAATATTTATTCTCAACACAAGGTTCACAAAGTCAACTCTTACAGTGTGAGGAATCAGGTGTAAATAGAGTGGTGGAGAGGATAGATAAATAAGGGGAAAACTATGATTAATTGTAAATATTATGAAGATGTGAAAGAGGGGGAATGGAATGGAAGAGTAGAATGACGAGAACACCATTACAGTAGATAGGAGATGTGGATAAGTCGAGAAAGATGATTTTTAAAGACTTTAGACGGAAGGGACTATTGGCCGGCACCAATAGATTTGTAAATAGTTTTCAGAAAGTTTGTAAAGTGTTACTATGCAGAATTAGTTAAAAACTGTCTCAAAAGTATTGCTTCGATTTATATCCAAAAACCCCCTCATAGACCAAAAAAATTTGATCGGTCCGCCCTGGCCTTATTTAGTACCGGGCCGACCAGGCCCGGGCCTAGAATTCTGGAGTTGGCCGGGCCGGGTCCGGGCCTGGCTGGGCGACTCCCCTCAGGCCCGGCCCGGCCCGGACCGAGGCTTCAAGGCATGTCGTATGCTTATTCTCCTTATTTACCTGTATACTTCGAATGACGAATGATGAGAAGTCGGCTCTGTACCGATAGCACGGGGCATTGACAACAGAACGGGGCATTGACAACAGAACGGGGCATTACCAAGTCCCCGCGGCCGGCGGCCAGCAGAACGGGGCTTTGGTTTGGCCAGGGGGGCCGGTGGCCAGCAGGGCGGGACTGTGCATATTTTCTCAAAAAAACGTATTTCTATGGTCTCTCGCCTATTTTTTTCCTCTGATGATAGATCATAGAAAAAATCGATGTATGTGTAAGTATGGACTCCGAATTTACTATGGAAATGGTAGAAAAGAGCCGAATTCAAGCAGCTTAGGATAGCGCATAGGCCTTCGTGTATTAACGAAATATACCAATCAAACAAAAAAATCAGAAAAAATGTCTATCAGTTAGGCTACTTCAAATAACTAGAAAAATACAGACAAAAAAGTTCGATATCCTTACAAACCCTTTTCCGGGGTCCCAAAAATGACACCAAAACTTTAATATCTCAAATTTTCAGGCTCTGTAGCAGATTCGGAAATCGACGCGATTATCAGCGTGGTCGCATATACAGGGTGTCCCAAAAAAAAACCCCCTCGGCATTTGGCCGTCTTTCATCCAATCGGGACCAAATTTTTACCAGTCATGGGGACCCATAAAAACTATGTGCGGCCGAATTTTCTAAGCAAAATCTTGTAAAACAAAGAAGTTATATCAAAATTAAGGTTAAATTTGCCGATTTCACTAGGATTTTGACGGATTTCGGCCTCGAAATGTTTAGCAAAAATGAAGAGGGCGCTCTTTTCTACCTGTAGAAATTTTTTTATTTACGAAAATTACGTTTAAATTGGGCCTTTCGATCACTTTTATTATCGAAATTGCCAGAAACTGACCGAGAAATGACCATTTTTTGGAAAATTACTCAAAATCCGCATGCTAATTGCGAAAACATAGCCAAAAACGAGTACCAGCGTTTTCCAAAAATCAGTTTTTTAGTGATAACTTTTTGGTTTTACAATATTTTGCTTAGAAAATTTGGCTGCACATAGTTTTTATGGGTCGTCCCCATCACTGGTAAAAATTTGGCCCCGATCCGATAGAAGACGGCCAAATGCCGAGGGGGGTTTTTTTTTGGGACACCCTGTATTAATGTACAAATTCTCAGCCCGATCCGTGTTGCGCGGTATTTTGGACTTCCCTAGTTAGAAACGTTCGGCCTGGTTGACAAACACTTCTGTGAATCCAAAAAAATATAATCAGAGAAAAAAAAATAGGCGAGAGACCATAGAAATACGTTTTTTTGAGAAAATATGCATAGCCCCGTCCTGCTGGCCGCCGGCCCCCCTGGCCAAACCAAAGCCCCGTTCTGCTGGCCACCGGCCGCGGGGACTTGGCAATACCCCGTTCTGCTGCCAATGCCCCGTTCTGTTGTCAATGCCCCGTGCTGTCGGTACAGAGCCAAGTTGATCCCATCCTCGCTCAACGAAAGACCTATCGATTACATTACAGAATGTATAGTAAAGGCTTTACTTCTAAAATTACCCAGGTTTAGTATCTAAATTGCTCAATTTCCATCGGATTCCCTGCTACAGCATTGATCTAGCCTCGAATTTTTGCGGAATTTGGACCTTTGGCATTCAAGATACAGGTGATTTCCCAAGGTGCTCACTTTTTGACCGCTAGTAGTTTGTATATTAGGCCCCAATTCGAACACTGTTCTGGATAAAAATCCCCAGGCAATAACCGCAAGAAATTTCTTTACAAAATAAATAGCAAACCAGGGTTGAAAAGCCGCTTCGCAACTTTTCAACCCTGGCCCCGGCTTGGACCCCATGCTATTCCGCCCTTTGCATAATTGTCTTCATTCAGAAGGCAAAAAATAAAAAACAACCCCTTCTGCCTCACTATATAAACGACCGCTCACTTCCGATCTATGCTAATTATTCCTAACATAGAGGTTTTACATAAACCTAAATTTAATAGCGAAAATGGCTAATTTTTCAAAATCTGGTATGTGTGCAGTCATCCCTAGACCATTACGCACCTAATGACGTATCAAACGTAGCCTACTACTCGTCCGTTCTTGAGATACAAAGCAAAATACAGAATAAGTAGCAAAAGAAGACACTGACCATTAAACAATAGCTGTTTCCATACACCGGCCCATTCATCGACAGCCGTCTCTGAATTTGAGATTTTGAAATTAAAAAAGTAAATTAAATTAATTATTGAAATCAAATAAATTAAGAAATTCAAGCAAATTACTACAAATCATATGGAGTGATTGAAAATATGCGAAATAGAGTGAGGCGTGATTTTTGTAAATCCTGAATATACCCTGAAGGGGATATTGGGGGATGTGTCCATCAAAGAATATGACAGTCGACAAATAATAAGAGAAGGGAGCAGGGGAGGGAGATTGACGCCCCACGCACGCACCCAATCAGCCGCTTAGATATGCTGATTTTTGCGCAAAATTTTTATCGAGAAATGCAAAAAATGCTAACGAAGCTAACAAAGAAATTTTTAAAAGTTGGGATTGTTTGTAAAGTGAGTTGCATTTTTCAGAAGCAGAAATTTATTCAAAAAAAAACAGTTGATCGATATCGACGCTGGAAAAGGAAGCATTCATTCAGCACATTTCATCGAATTCATGACAATAAGACATATCTGGTAATGGACCCTTGAGACAATCGAAAAAATTGATATCATCGAATGTTGGTCGATAGTTTGCCTGAAAATTCAAATGTGGCATTCGGAATCTGGTATTCGACAAATATCTCGCATCCAATTCACCTACCGTCCATACAATCGGCTTTCCCCCCTCCGTTTTCGGTTCCATTGTCCGTTTATATGTCCATTCATTGATCTCCTCCGATGTCACTTTCATTGTCTCGTCTTTTGGAATGATTCCCAACTAAAATGTCGGTTTTTCTTACAACCTCTGAATACTTTTAATATTGACCAGGCTTGAAAAACCGCTTCGCGGCCTTTCAACCCTGGCCCCGTCTTCTCCAATGTATTCTTGGCTTTGCATAATTTTCCCGGATTCGGATGACGAAAAATGAAAAATGCTCTTGCCGTCCCTTTATATAGGCTACCGCGACTTCCGGTGCATGCTAATTTGATCCTAACAAATTGGGGTGTCCGATTTTCCATGAAAGACTTAATTTTAATGTCGAAAACATCATATTTTGTAAAATCTAATATGTGTGCAGTCATTCCAGCCCATTACGCACCTAATGACGTATCGAACATACCCCTAAGTACTTCCCTTCTTGAGATACTACTGGAACTCGGTGACGGAAGTTGCATGCAAATGCACACAGACACACACACACACACACACACACACACAGACACTATTTTTTTATATATAGTAGGATACTCGGCATCTTCCAAAATGACCCAACATTTATTTGGACTGACTGACCTGTATTTGCTCGTATTTCTCGAAATCGGAGGGAGACCCCATGGAAAAGTCGAAGTATCTGTGGAATTCCCTAGTATAGTGGAAGACAGATGATGTCCTACCGATCCCATTCATAATACAAGCAGAGAAATGTGTCGCGCTGAAATTGAGGCTTAATAATATCCATGAAAATAGTCATTACCTTGTTGCACGGGAAGATCCAGAGATATCGGTCAGTACTAAATTAGACTATCAACTATAATAATTTTCTTGACGCGTCTGTCTGTCCGTCCGTCTGAAGCCGAATTCAACTCGAAGGGGAAGAGAGCTAGAGCTTAGCTCTCTTCGGATTCGGATAGAGCGCCGTCAGAAACCCCCAGACTGATAAAAAAATTACGAAAAAGTTTTAGTTTAAATTATTAAAATTAACTTTGAAAGTGGTGCCTTAATAAAGTGAGTGGGGGCCCCTCTCCCGGGAGGCCACGCCCCCTTTCCCTTCGCCCCTCTTCCCCAGGCCCATTCGCGCGCCCAGATAGCTTTTTTAAGTTACTTTAATACTTTTTAATACTTTTTAATTATGTTAATTAATTATTTAAATCATCTAAAGCCATCAGGAAGGTATTTAGGTAGTTTTCGAAGGGGATTTCAGCCATGGGGGGTATTGATGGAGGTGGGAAAGGATGTGGTGGAGTGGGACATGTAGGGTAGCCCGAAGGCCAGATGGTTGCGGTCGCGAAGCGACTGTAACCATCTGGTCTATAAAAAGTATCCAAACGTTATTGTTTATCGCGGACTAATAGATGCCGATCTACCGGCCAACTCGAAATCCCCAACTTGCAAAATTCGAGATCTCTGTCAAAATTCCATGACGATACTTAGAATTAGCGGCGAGAGATGAGAGGCCAATGCAAAATTATGTCTTCCAAATTTCCGGAACAGGCTAATAAAAAGAAGCTACGCGTCTATTGTCAAAATACAGGGTGAGGCATATATATCGAAGCACCCCTGGGCCATGAAATTTTGCATGCAAGCAAAAAACTAAACAGCTTTTGGGGATTGTGTATACTTACGATAATAAAATAAGTGGTTCCTGATGCAAGCGTCAAAATAAAACGATGGCCGGCCGCCTTGTTTTTTATTTATCATTTAGAAAAGTTTAGCGGTTCTGTCAAAAAAAAGTGGTGTGTTGGCACGCTGCTCCTAGAGATCGGCCTAAAGGTAGCACCGGTTCAGGATTCTCGATTCTAGTTTGATTAAGACCTGTCTATTGATTGCAAAAGTCGGATAGCCAAAAACAAGCGAAACAATTTCGTTACAGTCAAAAATCAACCCTGACCCAACTCAGGCCCCTCTATCGTACCCACTTAAAAATGTATTACAAAATCAACGCTGGAAGGAAAATTTTCTTTTAGCAACTTTTCACGTTCTAGGCCTTTGACAAAATTAGGTCCGTTGACCAAATCAGAGAACTATACACCTAAAAGTCGCAAACCACAATTTTATCATTTTTACTATGCATCTTGAGGACAGCTGAGTCATAATATGAAATTTCCGGCTGATAAAGGTAAATAAACTACAGCTGCGACCGTTATTTGTTGTTTCTACATAGCTCCAACGTTTTTGACACGCATAGGTGCCCGAATCAGGGTTTTCGAGGCCGGCCGAAATCGAACTCCAAGGGGTTGCGTGCCAAGCCCACCCCCATAAGTCTCAAGTTGTACATGAAACAAAAATTTTTCAAGAATGCCAGGTTCTGTTATTTTGGGAACTTGGAAATAGCGCTAGTGGCTACATATTGGCAAAATAACACGGCCCACCGTGCTTTCTTAAATTTTTGAGGGCCTTCTGTAAGTGCTTCGATATATATGCCTCACCCTGTACACGTAAAGTATTTGCTTGGATATTTTCGAGGATATCTCTTGATGCTTACCTCTCGTACCCTTCGTATGTAATCAACACAACTCGAACATTATATTTCTCCTCAAAAGCCCTCTGTTTCTCACCGATAAATGGGAAATGCTGTATGGAAAAATGCAATATAATTTGACGAACTGAGAATACCCAGGGGCCGCTGTGGATGTTATGTCCCTCACCCACTGATGTCCCTCCATTCAAAAGTTTCTAAAATGAATTTTTATCTGGTTATCTATTCTCATGATTTACCTGTATACTTCGAATGATAAATGATGAGAAGTTGATCCCATCCTCTATCGACTCAGCGCCTGTTGATTATACAGGGGTCGACGCTTGCATGCGCCGGCCTACAAGGAGTCGCTTTTAGGTGATATTGGAGTTTCTGAACGAGACCTAGCTCATTCGATAGAGAAAAAAATTCTGAACAAGATGGCGTTTTCAAAAAGTGCTGATCGATTCAAACATTCAAGAAATAAATTAATTTCTATTTTATACGGAACTGTGGGGCTGGGACGCGGATCCCGCCCACCGAACATAGACCCCGTCCACGGGCGCAATCCACATGGCAGCGTGGCCAGGTGGATAGCGAGCCGGTCTCCCAATCTATCGAGGGTCAGGTTCGACCCCCCCGCCATGCCGATTTTTTGCTTTTTGGCTGAAAATGCGTTTCTTGACGTGTGACGCATTATCTTCTCCTTCTTTATTTCAGTTTGAATTTTGATAACATTATTTATCTTTGACGAGTAATCAAACAAAAAAAACTAGCACAAATGACAATCTATTATGAAATGTTCAAAACAAAGGTACACATCACAACGAGCATTTTTTCCATGATGTCTTTTTCGACCAGGGTGCCCAGCTCTTGTAAAGCGCACCTACGGTCCGCAAGAAGTTTATCTAAAATATTGGAAGGAAACCAATACTAATAACAACCTTTCCCCAAGATTCGCTTGAACTTGACCATGGCGGACTCTCCCTTTAGAAACCGGAAACGATTCGCCATCCATCGAGCCTTACGGCTTCCCGTTGTTGATGAACGATAATACTCGATCGCCTCTTGAACCTAAAGAATAACATCAATATTGTTTCCAATCAACCTTATCCACATGGACTTTCTTGGCGCCGAAGTAGATCCAGATGCCGGGGTCTTTCTTGGGTACCTCCACCTCTTCGTCGTCCTCATAGTCCGGCTCATTGTTGTTGTTTACTTCGCCCTCTGGATGGTCATCTCGAATCATTTGGTCGAAACGAGTCACTTCTAGTTCGCCTTCTTCAGCTTCCTTCAGAATGTGAGCCAAGGCTTCTTCTAGAAGAACTTCATCTGCCGTCAGAGGGCTGTCGCAGGTCCCGAACTTGCGCGCCAAGGCCGCAACGACACACTGTACCCTCACCATCTGAAAAACAACAAAAGATTATATAAAAACACAGTGAATTTAAAAAAACATTGAAAGAAATTGAACCAATAACATGTTGTGTGTATATGCCTCTTCTGTATTTCAGGCATGTGTACAAGGCACACTTCTGAACGGTATTTTCCATTTGGGACCCAGACCTACCTTTCAGCCAAAAAGCAAAAAATCGGCATGGCGGGGGGTCGAACCTGACCCTCGATGGATTGGGAGACCGGCTCGCTATCCACCTGGCCACGCTGCCATGTGGATTGCGCCCGTGGACGGGGTCTATGTTCGGTGGGCGGGATCCGCGTCCCAGCCCCACAGTTCCGTATAAAATAGAAATTAATTTATTTCTTGAATGTTTGAATCGATCAGCACTTTTTGAAAACGCCATCTTGTTCAGAATTTTTTTCTCTATCGAATGAGCTAGGTCTCGTTCAGAAACTCCAATATCACCTAAAAGCGACTCCTTGTTAGCGTGGCTGGCCACGCTCTTCCGGAGCGTGGAGTGCCACGCTTGCGCGCGTGGCTCTTAACAAACCACGCCAAAATGAGCGTGGATGGCCACGCTCCGGAAACACTTATGCAAAGTTTCAAAAGATGCAAAATCAACATTTTCTAAGGACATGGATACGTAAAAATCGATAAGTTTTCAAGAAGTTAAGTATCAGAAAGTTAAACCACTACCTATAATGTTTATTTATGAAAAATTTCAACAGGCACTTGATAGTTATGTATCGGTAATACATTTTAGCAAATAGAAATCATAGATGTATAGCCTTTCAATTTTTGATTTGCATCTCGAGTTAAAGTGCGAGCGTGAAAAATCACGCATAAAGCGCCGCATAAGCGTGGTTCTCCACGCTCCGGAAGAGCGTGGCCAGTCACACTTATGCGGCGCATGCAAGCGTCGACCCATGTATACTGTTGATCATATTGCAGAACGTATCATAAAATTTTCACTTCAAAAATTACTCAAGGCAGTCCAATGAAAGATAACATTCTGGATTAAACTTGCATATCAAAGTATTCTTAAAAATATCCCCTACTCGATTGCCGCGAGAAATTTCTTGGCAATTAAATAGAAAAAGAAGACGATTACCCCACAACACTAGTTCTTTCCATACACCGGCACATTCATAAACAGCCATCTGTAGAACGGTTTATATAAAAACAGTGGAAAACGACCGCTTCGCGGCCCTTTTCCACTGGCCCCCGTCTAGGAACCATATATTCCCCCTCAGTTTTCAAGCCTGCGGCGCAAGAGCCTGACTCTAAACCATTCTCTGGCCTGCGACGCTAGCTACTGGTTTTTCTCCAGCATATGGTCTGCGGCGCTAAAGCGAGGGACTGGCCGAAATTTCGGATACCGAGAGCCTCGAAATATGTTTTGTTGTTGAACTATTAAAAAGCAAAAGGTACATGCGCCGAGGATCCGAACCCTCGACGATGCGCACGGTAGAGCGGGCGCCAAGGCACTATGCCATAGGGGGCATGATAAGAAATCCTGGCCTTGAGTACCCTATCCATGAGGACGGGCGGGGTTCAACCCGGGAGGGAGGACTTCTGGTAACTTTACAAAAATCACTTTTTTTTTGGGCTAAATGCGATGAAATTCGTAAAAATAATAAGATGCGCGTGATCCCCACTATCGAATACATAAGTGGTCCAAGTTACAGAACGAAATTCCATCAGGGCTTCGAGTTATGGCCCGGACACCACGGCTCGTAGCCCATTTTGTTAAAGGGCTGCCGACGGCATGTGTCGATCCCCCCCCCCTCATCAACAAATTGGCAGGTAGCCAGCAGGGCAGAGAGCGCGCCCCGGGGAGAGGCGCAGAGACATTTTCTTTCCAGCGGGTAACCGATTGACTATGCCGTCGGCATCCCTTTAAGGATTTTCACCATTTTCGAAAATTTGCTTTTATGGTCCTCGCCCGAAAAGTGTTGTTTCGGGTCGGAATCGATCTAGAAATGATCAAAATGTCGTTTTCAGTGAAAAAAATGCGCCGGAAAGAAGGATTAAATGGCTAAGACGACTTTTTTGCTAAAAATTCGAGGACCATAAAAGGGGGTACAGGGGTATGTCGTTTATGGTCCTCACCTGAAAAGTGTTTTTCCTTTTACTAAATCAATAGATAATTGTTGGAAATTCATAACACCTCGAAAAAAAGTGCCGGAAAGATGTTCGTGGCCGCCTAAGGCTTCTGATCAAGGTGCGGCACGTAGCATTGTCAGGCAAGGCGGGCCGTCGCTTCGGATGGGCTGCCGCTCCACTCTTCCGAAATCGAGGCGCCTGGGCGCTGCGCACTGCTCGGGCGCCCCGATTTCGAAACACTGTACGAGCTCGCACCTATCCGAAGCGACTAGGCCCCCGATGGCACGAAGCCTTATTTTTAGGCTAAAACTGGGCTGAATGAATTTTTGTACCAAAATAAGTTTTGCAGCTAAAAGGTCTTTCCGGCGCTTTTTTTGGACTGCAAACGATATTTTGAACATTTCTGGATTGTTTCCGAAACGGATTTTAGCCGAGGACCATAAACGACATACCCCCGTACCCCCTTTTATGGTCCCCAAATTTTAGCAAAAAAAGGTCTTTTTAGCCCTCAAAAACTTCTTTCCGGCGCATTTTTTTACTGAATACTACATTTTGATCATTGCTAGATCGATTTCGACCCGAAAAGAAACTTTTCGGGCGAGGACCATAAAGGTAAATCAAGCCACCATTTTGTTTGTAAAATCGTTAAATAAAGGAATTTCGAAAAACAAAAAATGCGTTTCTGGCAAATGTGTTTCTACACCTCCATGCCAAAAATCAGCCGAAAATTCGGCCTGACGGCCCAGAAATCGGCTGCACAGAAAACAGACATACTTTTCTCGCTTATTGGATAAGAAGAAGGGATATGTTCACCTCGGATGGATATTCTTGACTGTTTTCAAGTGCAAGCCAGCCGCTCGTTCTCGACAATACTCCCTAAATTCTTTTAAGAATGCTATGTTTAAAAAATAACGTGAAAATAGAAATTAAGAAAGGGGGTTAATTCCCTGGAAAAAGCAAACAAAACCATACACGGAATATTGGAGAATGAAGGATATTCATCAGCCGGCTGATATCACAAGATTTGGCCGACCAGAAGAACAATACGATCTCTTGATCTTCTTTCCGAATATTCCCTAATATCCTTTTGTTTTATTCTACAAGATATAATACCTAATCCCTCAATGAAAGAACAATACACTTCGTGAAGGCCCGTTTTTCCTTTCACAATTTGATGCTTGAAATTCCATTCTCCGGGGTCGTCAGTTCTGAAACTTGCGCTCTTCTAATATAAATCACCACGTACCCAATGTCAAGTTGAAAGCCATCCTCCGATGTGAATTCAGCCGGCTGAAATATAATTACAGACTTCCAAACGTCTTCTCACAATCATTTTCCTCTCGATCGCTTTCTTCACCCATTTCTCTCTTTCATCCACAGTCACTTCTTTTTCTTCTCTCATTTTGTCGACCATTTCCACAAGTTCATCAGAAGCGTGCTGCTGAATCAAAAAATTGTACTAGCCTCCGAATTGTGACAAAGCTGCGTATCTGTCCGGAAAAAAACTAAAATGAAAGGAAATGATAAATATAGTGAGCTAAGATTAAAGAAAATCATGTAATTGAGAAAAAAAGGTTACTCCAATATGGAGTTTGGCTAAAGAAAGTAAAATAATTGGCCTGTTTCGACCCTTGTCCAAGACAGGCAATTTACACTAGGGTCGGGTCATCCTCAGTTGGAATCCCTAGCGAAAGAAATTAGATAAATTTTGGTAGGAAAGGTTTGTTAGATGAAAATTAAAGGATAATGAAGTATTTGGTTGAGAAGGTTTAACTAGATTGTGGTGGGGGGGGAATTTTTGAGTTACCGCGTGGGGGTAGGTATCATGGGGCAGAGAGAGGGGGCAGAGAAAAGGGATATACATGGCGTAATGGTCTGGCGCGTTTGGTTTAGAAAATGTGTTTATGGTTGAAAGAAGTCGAAAAGTGAATGGAAAAGGATAAAGTAAATGGTAAAGTGATAAATTATAGAAAATGTATATTTTAAATTTATCTAATAGGGTATATATTCGACTATTTTAGTAAATGTACTATGTTTTTTGGATTGCATTGGTGTTTGAGACTAAGTACCGGGTATTTAGTGAAAATTTTTTTGCAAAGGGCATATAAAACTAGCGTAGGGTAACTATTATTTTGTAGATGAGTTATTAAAAGTTTTATGTGTTTAATTAGATCTTTTTGTTGGGAGCATTTTCGAGCTATTCTGATAATTTCTCCTTCCACGCACCCGTGTTTGATAGAATAGGAGATGTTTGAGCAATAGTTTGGTAAGCGTGTGACCTTAAATTTATAATCATCTACTTTATTATATAATTCGGTATGTGTTATATTGTTTTGAGTGTAGATTTTTAGGTCTAGAAAATTTCCGCAATCATTTCTAGAGTTGGTTCGTTCTAAAGTAAGCTCTTTGGGGTAAATTTCGGATAGATATTTTTCAATATCAATGGAGTTTTTGTAAAGTATAAGTATATCATCCATGTATCTGTATCCTACAATCTTGCTATCAGCTTTTTCTTTGAGATAAATGTATTCGTAATATGTTAAAGTTAAGTCTGCTAGCATAGGGCTACAGTTTTGTCCTTGAGGGATACCTTGTTTTTGTTGAAAAAGTAATTGTTTATAGGTTACAAAACTGTTACTTAATACGTAGTTAACTAGATACATGATTTCGTTTTTTCCAAAGATATTATTACCAAGGTTTTCGTTTGTATAATAGCAAGATTTGTATCCCATTTTTATATATTTCTTTTGAGAGTTTTTAAAACAAATTTCTAGGATACCATCAATGGCTTGTGTCACGATAGAATGTGGAAGATTAGTAAAAAGACTACTAAAATCTGCAATATATATATTATTTTTATCGTGATTTTCTAGCAAATTGACTTGGTTGGAGTTTTATTGTAGACCAATATACTATTTTGTTCGTATTATTTGCTATTACTGAACAGTATCGTTGTAAGTGTTGGCGTATAAAGTTAAGGATACGATGCAAAGTAATAGAAATGGGTTTGATTGAGCTATTATATGCACCAGTAATAAATCTGAATTTAATGGGGTTTTTATGGAATTTAGGTAGTCCGTATATTTTGGGTAGGCTTGGCGTCTCTGGTGGGATAATTTTAAATAAAAGATGTATGTTGATATGCCTTTTAATTATATTTTCTTCGTTCTCAATCGTATATGGTATATAAGTTTCGTTACCATTAGGAAGTCCATTTTGTATTCCCATTTCTTTATCAATAAATTGTTGGTAAAGAAGTGGGCAGATTATTGCAAAGTTAGAAGTGGCTTTATCTACGCTAGTAATTATGAATTTTCTCTGCAATAATCTTATCTCATTCCAGTCTAGCTTAGTAGTCTCTTTATTACTACAATAATTAGTAATTAAATTGATTAAATCACTACTGATTTGTTGAAAATTAACGTTTTTAGCTATTTTAGAGATTTCTTTACCAAATTGTGTAATCATTTTATATTTTACATCTTCTTGAGTGTAATTCAAACTAGGTCGGAACTTAGTGCCTAATTTGAGTATTTCATAGGTGTTTGGGAAGTGTTTAGAAAGTGAATTACTATCGCCCGTAAGCACGTGTGTTTGTCCATTGTGGTTAACACTATTATTTTGATTCTGGAAATCGAAACAATTATTACAGTGAGTAGAATTATGTTTAATATGATTGTTTCCAAGTTTAGTGAGAAATTTATTATAGTTAAATAATAATTGACCTAAGGTTGGGTTATATTCATAAGTTATTTGGAAGTCAGTGTTGAATTCTATTTTTGCTTTATTCAGGTATTCTTTAATAATTCTTTTACAATTAATTCGTTCTATACTTGGTTCTAGATAAGGGACTTTTATACGTATTTTAGGATGTTTCTTTTTGGTTTTACTTGGTTTTCGATTTGACTGTATTTATGGATAGAGGCTTTTGCAAAAGCTTTGACAATTGGGTTATGATGTTCTAAGTAAGGTGTTAATTTTCCGTACATTTTTTTAGGTAAATTGTGTGTAATATTTCTAATTTCGTTAGCTTTAAGTTGTGTTAGTTTGAATTGATTGAAATCAAAATTATAGGATTTAGTCTTACGTTTGTTTTTGCGTATACCTCTGTTACGTGGTGGTGGTTTAATTTTGAGAGCGAAATATGGCGATTGGGTGGATAATTTTCCATTGGGATTAGATATAACTCCGTAACCTTTAATTTTATCATTCAGTCCAAATGGATAGGCAGTATTTAGAAGTTTTATCCAGTATAGTTCTTTGTCTGTACGTATCTGGTTGTCTTGATTTTCTATATGATCATCCAAAATGTGTATATGAAACATATTATCTGTTTGTCCATTAGGAAAATGAGTACGATAGTGATCGTAGATGAATCCGGATTTTCTCTTTTTGATAGAATATTTGTGACCATACATACGTTGGGTGACTTTTCTAGATGTTTCGCCTACGTATTGTAGATTACAGATTTTGCAAGTAAGACAGTATATCACATTTTGTGTTTGACAATTAGGTTGATTATATTGGTTGGTTCTTGTATAATAGTTAGTGGAGTTACTATGTATAATAGCTTCAAATTCTAGATCCTTACAAGTAGTACAATTACTTCTGTTGCATTTTGTACCTATTTTATCACTATATTCTTTATCAATGAAATTAATTTTTCTACCTACTTTGGTTGAACTATGCTCAACAAGCCCATAATAAGAGAGAGGGTTTTGAAGTGTTGACACGTCTAAGTATACCAAAGGGGTCCGACGTTAGAATACCCAATGGTTTGGTCGTAATTTGCGCCTCATCAGCGCCGTGCTAGGAAGCATACGATTCCCAGCGGTAAGGCCGAATGAGCAAGGCGGTTATCCAACGACCTAAACGTATGCCGATAACCTCTTGAACCAGATCACCAAACGGCACAGTTAGTAATGATTTGTTAACATAACATCGCTTCTGGGTGAAAATGTAATAATATTATAGTTGTAAAATTTATGGCTAAGGCTCATTTGAAGGAATAATTTAAATATATCGGCTTAATCGTTGGTTTAATTTTGTTGTGTTGTACATTGAGATTAGGTATAGAGAAGAAAAGAGCTAGTTAAAAGTGGGCAGGTTTAATGGAAATAGGTAGAGACAGGTGGTGGGTAACTGAAAACTATGATAAAGTGAAGTTTTAAGGAGTATATTAAAGAATTTAAGTTTGTTTTGGACTAAGATAAGATAAAAGAGAATATAACGGTAAAAGAATATAGGTGATAATGATTTTTCTAAAGGAAATGGTTCCTTAGGAACCGAGAGTTTAACCCCGAAGGGCAGGAATTTACCCCGAAGGGTAGATTTTACCCCGAAGGGTAGATTTTACCCCGAAGGGCAGTGCTCCGAAGAGCGGTTTAACCCCGAGGGGCGGTGCTCCGAAGAGCGGTTTAACCCCGAAGGGCGGTGCTCCGAAGAGCGGTTTAACCCCGAAGGGCGGTGCTCCGAAGAGCGGTTTAACCCCGAAGGGCGGTGCTCCGAAGAGCGGTTTAACCCCGAAGGGCGGTGCTCCGAAGAGCGGTTTAACCCCGAGGGGCGGTGCTCCGAAGAGCGGTTTAACCCCGAAGGGCGGTGCTCCGAAGAGCGTAAAACCCAGAGGGCGGAGTCCAAAAGGAGACTACAACTGAGAGAATGAGTATGAAAATTGTAAAAGGACTGGGTAGAAGACATGATAAAAGGAAAGTATAAAGGAAAAGGTAATGTTAGGAAAGTAGAATACACTATGATTATCCCGTCCATGGGTTTCCCCTACGGGTCGGGTAAACATAGGTAACTATAAATGAAAGGAAATGATAAATATAGTGAGCTAAGATTAAAGAAAATCATGTAATTGAGAAAAAAAGGTTACTCCAATATGGAGTTTGGCTAAAGAAAGTAAAATAATTGGCCTGTTTCGACCCTTGTCCAAGACAGGCAATTTACACTAGGGTCGGGTCATCCTCAGTTGGAATCCCTAGCGAAAGAAATTAGATAAA